CACGAAAGTAGTTAGAGACTACGCAGACGTGTTTTGCGACAAACCAGGGAAAACCTCTTTGGTAGAGCATGATATTCAGTTATCAAGTGAAGAACCGATCTCTAGCAAGGCTTACCGCGTATCGCCGAGGCAAAGAGAGATCATGGAAGCCGAGATCCGCCGCATGTGTGACTTGGGGGTCATCATTCCAGGTGAAAGCGATTACACCTCCCCACTCATACTAGTCGAGGTTCCGGGAAAAGACCCTAGGCCATGCGTGGACTACCGCCGGCTAAATAAGATCACTTTAGATCAGACGTATCCGATACCTAATATCGAGGAGAGAGTAGAAACCGTGGCAAAATCCACATATATCTCCCTCTTAGATCTGGTACGGGGATACTGGCAGGTCCCGTTGACGGAGCGAGCCTCTCGTTATGCCGCATTCATTTCCCCATTGGGAACATTTCGCCCTTTAATGCTTGCTTTCGGCTTAAAGAATGCTCCCTACTGCTTCTCAAACCTCATGGATCAGGTGTTGCGGGGTTTAGGAGATTTCGCCCTGCCGTATCTCGATGATGTGGCAATATTCTCTGATACGTGGGTCGAGCATGTGACTCACTTGAGGACCGTTCTGGCTCGACTACGTGATGCAGGCCTCACCGTGAGAGCGCAGAAATGCCACTTAGGGTGCGCAAGCGTAAGTTATCTCGGCCACATCGTGGGTCGTGGCCAGCGTAGCCCGTCCGAGCTGAAAGTTGCGGCCGTTTTAGAGTATCGTCGTCCCACCACAAAGTCGGAATTGAGGGCGTTTTTGGGACTGGCGGGGTATTATCAACACTACGTCAAAGGTTACTCAAACCTCGCTAGTCCGCTGACGGACTCTCTCCGCAAAACCGAGCCCACCGTCATTTCGTGGGACACAAGAAAAGAGAATGCTTTCAAGAGCCTCAAGAGCGCTCTCGCAAAACGACCCGTGCTAGCGGCACCGGACTTTTCTCAGAGTTTTATTATTCAGTGTGATGCCAGTGACCGCGGCCTAGGAGCAGTTTTGTGCCAAAAAGACGCCGAAGGGCACGAGCGGCCAGTTTTGTATCTCAGCAGAAAGCTCAGTGTCAGAGAGGAAGCTTACAGCACTTCAGAAAAAGAGTGCGCCTGCCTTGTTTGGGCAATCGGTAAGCTAGCATGTTACGTCTCAGGGTCGAGCTTCATAGTAGAAACTGATCACTGCCCCTTGACTTGGTTGCACAACATGTCGTCTAAAAGCGGTCGGTTACTTAGGTGGAGCCTGACGCTTCAGCACCATAACTTTAGTGTGTGCTATAAGAAAGGGAAGCTGCACACAAATGCAGATGGTCTCAGCAGAGCTTATTGAAGTGCAGCCCAGCTCCCTCTTACAAGTTGAGGCACATGCTTCTGGTTTGACGTGTTTCGCAAAATTTTGGCGTCTATTATTTCATTTTGATTTAAACTGTATTAACAATGTCGCATTTCACTAACAGATGTAATTTTGTTTGAAGTGTACTCTGATATGTTACCAGGAAGCCCAGCCTCTACCATTCTGGTAAATTGTTCAAAAAAAATGCACAGAATTGGTTTTGGGCTGCTTCAGCAGGTTCCGACCCGCTCGTATGGCATTGGGGATGGTTTCGCGTGGCCTTTTTTGGCATCGGGACTGCGCAGTGTAATCACAGCATTCGTGAGGGCCAGCGTTTTGAGGTCTCTAAGGGATACGTTTCTCGTGCTTTTTAAAACGTACAATAGTAGAGACTCAATAGATCTCTTTGCTGCCTTGGTCTGGCGCTATGAGAGACGTTCAGAGGGTGCTTGCTTCCACGAAAGTGGTTTGGCTTTGAGTTCAACTCCGTCGTCCCAGTGATTCCCTGCAGGGCTCTGAAGATCACCACGGAGTGGCTACAGCCTCAATGGTCAACCAGCATTCCTCCTTCCGAGCCGCGCTGACGGCTCAAAACTCCGGATGCATTGTCTGGCGGCGGGGGTGCTGTTGTGCCACCGACAGGTTCCTCGTTCGGCAGTACGTCTCACGAGATCGAGCCCTGTTTCGACGAACTGTCTCCCCCCCCCCTCCCAGCGCCGCCTTCTGTGCAGGAGAACCGTGCAGTCCGGGGATAACGTCGTTTCCTCCGCCGGGCCACTTTGCAGTTCCGGGTATGGCTACATCTCCCCCTCCGAGCCCGAGAACTGGTCCGAGAGAATGGACCAAGGACGCTATTTAAGGCCGAGCCGGCCCCATGCTAGGAGATTTTGCCCCAGCCGACGTTGTCGTGCTGGCTGGCTCTGTAAAACGACAACCTGCGATAGTAAACGCTACTTTTGTTGCTGTTTTCCAAACGGATTGCCTCCCTGTTTCACCTTCATGCTAAGGCTTCATCGAAGTCCGCTGGACGGCCCGCCGCTCTTCGCCACCGCTACCATCGCGACAGAGCAAAATTCCTAACAATACGCATTAGTTGCTCAAGTGGTCTCACCGCTTGTCAAAAGCATGCCCAGAACGCGTGTGACGGAATAACGCACTACCGACGCCACACTGTAGATAAGCTGAAGGTGGTGCTGCACAAAGTGGGCAGTAACATAAACGCGCGTGGCAGTATTAGGTGCGAGCAGTAGTACCGAACTCATCACAACGATATGACGGCTTTAAAAGATATTTATTTAATTTTTATAGCATTGAGTTGAGCAAGAAGTTAATAAGTAGCTAAGTCGCCCAACAGGAGTGCGTAGTAGGGGAAGCACACGCGAAATATGCGCAAGCAACACCACAAAAGCATGGTTTAGTGCGGAATTGCGCATACAGTCACTCAGAGGAGCATCCCTTTTGTAGTCACAGTGCGCTTCACTCGCTAGTAATAATAGTGTTGTTGCATGGGCTTCATGGGTCGATTCGGAAGAGAGGAGTGTAATTATTACCAGTAAACCGCAGTCAACACAACTTATTCGCTGACCTTCGGCCCAAACCACACACGACGATGTGCTGCTGCGTGTATTTGTAGGCGCTGCCGACTGCCTATTCAAATCCATGTTGCTGTGGGCATCATTACGAAACGGTAAACGTTGTATAAAACATGTGCAGGCCTTTAACGTATGTGTCTGCATGTATTTGTACGCATATTTTGCGCCACTTACTAACGTTTCACTAAATAAAAAACTACAACTAAGTTACCTTCTATGCACATGCTTCGCATAACGTAGATTCTCAAAGTACATATAATCAGCCATTTTTTTTTTACTTTGGTTGGTGTAGGCAGTGGTCTCTGGAAATGATCAAGCTGAAAGAGCTTATACCTAAGTTACCGGCCAGGGTCGAATCTCTGAAGGCGCTGAAGGAATTTTAAAAACACGACGAAAGTCAAAATGTACATTCGGGCAATTTGGTTCAAACTCGCAGGAAAACGACGCCGGCTATCAGCCGAGGAGAAAGACATGTTCAAAAGGTGCTTTGAGTTCGTGTCTTTCTCCTCGCCTCGTCTGTCGATTTCACAGGTGCCGCCGGCACAACTGTCGTGCAATAGAGGCCCGCCATTAAAATGTATTTTGCAGGTGAATGGCCTTTTCATTAACATTGTGTTGTGTGACAGGTAAAGGACTGAAAATAAATAAGAAAACCAGCGTGCTTCCGCGGTAGGGTACTCAATTGTCGTGTAGCAGGCGCGAGCCAATATGTCACCCGATTCTGGGTATTGTTTTGTTCCCCAGATAGCGGTCACAGATACCAGTGGCTGCGAATAACTACACCACAAAATCTGCTGTTGTGATCTCAAAAAAGCTTTCGATGCAAAACAACCAGGTTGGCTCCCATGCTGTTGAATGATGCTTTGTGTACAAAATTTTCCACTTCGTAAAGTGTTTTCCACCTAAATGTTTTATGTGCACTCGTGGAGCCAACCCATTGGCACGTCGACCAGATGCCTTCCACAGATTTTGCACTGGGTAAAATAAGATGCGGGAACCAAAATTATGATGCTTTTTTTCTAAACGACCAATCACAAAACAAAGGTCGCGCACTATGCTACATGAGGGCAGTTGTTCCCTTTAACAGCTTCTTTGTCACTATGTTAAGCTGTAACCGATCTGCAGCACACTATTCATGGCGTGACTGATAAGCTTAGTAGGTCACATTTGACGCATAATTACTTCTTACCATACTTTCATTACACAGAAATGTGTAGAATATCCCCGCATTCACACAGATAACTAATAAATTAAAATAGGATTTTTAGAAAAAGTTAAGAAAACTTGATGTTTTCAGTAAAACACATACTTTCAAATAGACAACAATAAAAATGGATGTGAGGAGCATGAAAATTATTGGTTTTAGTGACTGCATTACAGTTAGAGCAATATATACAACGTCCTCTATACCTTCCATGGCTTCGTTATTCAATGGTTTTAATGAAGGTTGTGTCGACAAAGAAGCAAGCCTTTCAAGTTCCTTTTTTCCGTTCATTGATAGGACGGTCTCGCCCTGGCAGTCTTGATGTCTTTAGGTAGTATGCAAGAGAACAGTGGTAAGCTGCCAGCTCGTAATAAGGTCACGTGTTGCATGACGGCAACAGATAAAAAAAGTGTGTTCCACCCACCGTTATGGCTGTGAGTGGTGCTCGCTTACACTGTCAGGTTGAAATTCACCGGTATACACTACGGCATCTGCAATCTTTATGTTAGCCATATGGCTGCTGGTGTTGATCTTGCTTCAAATACTGTGTCTAAATACATGCATTATACTCATCATCCTTCGTACGGCTGCATGCTGCTGATAAATGCGTATATTGAGTTCTTCTGTAGTGGTGGCTGTTAGCTTGTGCTTCTTTTCTGGGGCGTAAACTCTGGGAATAAGTATCATTTAAAGTATTGAACAAGTATCTGAAAACACATATATAAATTGATTCGACACTCACTTTAGCAGCTCAGGGGATTTGAAAACGGGCTTGCTTTTGAGCAGTTTTGTGAGTACATAAAAGTATTGATTCGATTAGCAATGCCAACAAATAAGCAATTAGTCATTCAGAAATAAAAAAATGTTTATTGACATTGGCTAATCTAAGGACACTTCTAACACCAACAAGTGTAAAAAAGACACTACAAGCTGGATTTCGAGTGGTATGTCACTACTTGGCATACAAAAATAAAAGACCACCAATAGTTCAATTAGCAGTGATCTTGAGGGCATCCAAGCAACCGTAAAGCTGAGATCTGATATGAATTGCATTTAAAAAAAAAGAAATAACTTCGTGACCAACAGCGGTCTGCTTGTGTTTGTTTGAAGCGTTCTACAATACAATGTTTCTTTGAGATACGTCGATGGCAGTGCATTTATTTGTGGCTGCTTTATGAAACATCTTTTTTGTCAAAATTATTCAACTTATGTAGATCATGTCTTCATTGATTTCAATAGGTCCGCTTTATCTGTGGTGTCAAGTTCAGGAGTGTACTATAAAAGCGAAATTGCTGGACATGTGAAGTTGTGGTACCGAGTCGAACAGATTACTTAAACGATGACTTCATGTTGGGATGCAAATTTTCTTGTATACAGTTATCTCTGTTTTCATTTGTTTCGCAAAGGTTGTAAAGCGATGTACTTAGACTGCTTCTGCAAGAAGCAGAAGCAGTCTTGTCTTTATTCTGCGGCATCTTTCATTGTCTTTGCGTACCTGGCACCTACAGGCTTTTTGAAGCAAGGAATTAATTAACCGTGGTTCCAATGAGTGAAGGCACATTTTGAAATACAGAAGCAATAGTGAAAACGTTACACATTAAGACGATGAAGTACTGCGCTTAAGCAAGAATAGCGTGGGAATTACATTGCGCTACAGTGCTTTTTAACTATGGCTGTATAAGTTGTTGAGCACGCTTCATGAAAGTGGGAAAAACGTTCGTCTTTGTAAAATAGGATGTAAACCGTGTTATGTAGTGAACGAAATAAATGGACTGCTTTCTCCGTCACGGAATCTTTCTAATTGTATACGAAACGCGACACCTTAAATGAATTAGAACAAATGATTCATGCTTTATTGCGATCTAGACTTATTAAGAATTCACCAGGTTGCCAAACGTTTTCCAAATAAATGTGGGTGGCGCACGCAGGGTCTGGAAAGCATGGTCCAAAATGGTACGTTTTGTGAAGTGCTGCAATATGAGCATTGGGGTGTGAGAACAAATATTTTGAAGTCGTCGATATCAAGCAAGCTATATATACTTGCTTCCTTTACATACAGTCAAAGACTGGAGTGTTTGTTGGCAGTGTGTCTTGGAGTGACTGCTTTTTTCATTTTATTTTCATGAACCGAGCCACTGGAATCTTTACTACTTATTAGAATCTTTCTCGCGGAAGGCTGCACATATGCAAATACTTCTATGCAAATATGCCCTTGTTGCTTATTTTCACACAAGTTATTTTCAGTAGAGCATAATTCTGTCTCAAGACAGCAGAAGTCATTTGCCCCTTGGTGTTTCATCTGGACACTGCCTGATTGTAATATTTAGCGCATAGTCACGAAACAGTCAAGACTCAATGAATACAATGGCGATAGGCAATGGGTTTAGAGCATTACGGAACTGCAGGTGTCATTGAAGCTAGGTTCGACTGTAAAGAATTGGTGTAACAGCTGCGTGAAAAGTTAGCATCATGCTCCACACCACAACTTCGAGTCCTGCCCACAGGTTTTCTTTACAAATACATCATACCTTGCAAGCACCTATTAAATATTCCAGATTTGATAAGCTTTAAACCTCCGGAGATATAAATCTCTCTGAAAGAAACAAATAATGCAGCTCAGCTTCACAAAACGTTCAAGTGAATTGGAATTTTTTAGGACAACTGAGCAGACAAAGTAAAGTGAGTGCGAATGTAATAAAACTGCCTTTCATACAGTGATCTCAAATGTGAAGCTTCATGGCAAGTGGTGCCTCTTCTATTAGATTTATTGTCAAACCGCGTTATGTTTCGCACAATTCAGTAATTAAAAAGAACGCAAGACAGGCATATAAACGCTTCTATTGTTCCGGCCGCAGTCCAGTCCTAAACCTATGTGGCATTGATGCTGCGATGCGGCTACGTCTTCCTTGTGTTTTTGTGACAAGGCTAACTTTCTCGTAGCCTATGCAGCTCCCCTATGGTCTTTCTAGAAAGAAGGACATTCGTCGTGATGACTGACAATTTTGTCGTGAACGCCAGGTAATACTGGTGATAAAACATTTTTTCCTGTCTTGAATTCTGACATCATTTCTTGTTGTGCATCCCACTGACAAGCGGGACAAAATTACTCAATGGTGGTCACGAGGACTATGTCAAGGATATGCGCAAACCTGTGACACATGGGTTGCTCAAAGATTGGCCGAAGGTCCGTGTATTCGCTTGACCACATTCTTTGAAAAGTATGACGCGAGACAAACTGACTAGACGAAGATGAAATCTGGCTGCCGACCCTGTGGGCATCGGTCAGTGCGCTCGAGGCGCTGCCAGCGGCCGTGGCAGTGCAGGTGACCGAGGGCGGCGAATCGGGACGTGCGATCCTCCAGCCCGTGTCCCGTGCATCGATGGCCCAAGTGCTTGCGCATGGCCGTTACCTCGCAAGAGATGCACAACCGTTGTCCCTCGCGTAGCAGGTTGAACGACTCCAGAGCCTCGCAGGCCTTGCGTGACTTGGTCACTTCAAAGAGCACCACGTACCTGTGGGGATGAGAGTGCGATGAATGTGTAAGTCGTTGACTATGAAGGTGGGAATGTATGAGGCCAATTGAGACTTTTACTCTCGTCCCTCTAAAATTAAGAATAGAGTTTTGGTCATGCATGCGGTCGATAATTCACATCTCTGAAGATGTGCATGTCCGTACGCCCAGCCGATTCGAACACGAGGACCACGTGTCAGGCTGCCTGACTTGCAACAAGGAATTTATGGTCTGCACCACCGGTTCCTCCTCGACTTCATGAAGAAAACACAGCTGAAGAATTTTGTTTACATATTAATGCTGTAGGGCCAGCTTATGCAATAAAAAAGGACCACGTGGAGTGATGTTGGTTCTACACTATAGTGCACCCGGCAGACCCATGGAGGCTTCTGGGGAATTCTGACCAATCACCTGACCACAGACGGAAATCATATAAAAAAAACACGCCAGTCCTGCACGGTAGGTGCAGCACAGTCACAGCAAAAGCTAGAAGAGCAGCCTTTCAGAGCCTTTTCAAAACACTCATTGGGTAACTACTGCAAGCACACTCATTGGTAACTACTGCAAGCACACTTGCTTGGTACCCACTAGGGCACTATAATAAACTTTTGCGTAGTAGGCCGGCATTCGCTATGCTATTTTTCGTCATTCTTCTGAGAAGCGTGGTATCTGCTAAACACTTGCAAGGAAATTCGTGCCAATTATCCATGCAATGGCTGATGATAATGAGGAATTATGGCTGTAGTGGGTACGTGCCAAAGTTTTTAGGGCAATAAGAACAAGCTTTTGTAATGGGTTCGACCATTGGACGGCCCTCTTGTTATGCTAATAGCACTGTGTGACCACACTGGTTGTTCTTTCGCTGTTTCAAAATGCTTTACGAGTCGTATTTACACGATTGATTTCCCGACATCAACCCTTCCTAAAGCAAGTTTGACACCAAATAACATGCTCCGGTGTAGCTCAGTGTTAGAATACTGGGCTAGCATCCAGCGAACGGGTTCGAGCCCCAATGTGCCATTAGTGCTAGGTGATGCCTGCCTAATGCAAGGTTTTTTTTTTCTATTTCGCGCGATGTGCTAGGTGATGCCTGCCTAATGCAAGGTTTTTTTTTTCTATTTCGCGCGATGTGATTACGGTCACCGGTGGCGGCGGCGGGCAAGATGAAAATGCGCGTGACCCGAAAATGGATCCCATAACAGCTTCCGCTGTAATTGCACCCGTAGAATGTCATTTTTGTTAATTTCACAGTTTTCCTGAGAAAAATACTTGTGGAGACAAAGAACTGCTAAATTACAAGATAAATGAACCGAACAGCTCAGGAACCTTTTTAGTTTACTACTGCCAATCGGTACAACTGACTAAGAATGAAAAACAAATAAAAAAAAAGATGTCCATGACTTATTTTGAGTTTACGTTGTCCGGACTACAGAAATTCAAAAGCGACGTGTGTACTCTGAGCGACCCCATAAAAATTTGTACGGCGATAAAACCAGTGCATGTAGAAGCACCACAAAGGGTGTACATATAACACATCGGACAAGCTACAGGTATAAAGAAAAAGAGACTGTATTCTCGTGAAAAATAGATGTTTCAAAAAAGGTTCAGCATGTACACCTAAATATATAAAGTGATAGCACCCTTTATGCAACAGGAACCTGCACTTTAGGCGTTGCAATTTGATGCATTGTCACTGCAGCAATGTACAAACATGATAATAGAACCTATTGAAGTTCTTGCAAAATATTTACTGATGTTGAGTCCTTATAAAATATATACTGCTTCGTGGTAATATTCATCATTGAAGGTAACGGCAAGGTTGTCTCTACTCTATGGGCTTTATGCTTGTATTTACGTTCATGTTCTTTAGCAACGAAAGTACAAATACCTTGCTGCGAATGGGTTCGGGGATCTTTACAAGAACCTCGTCGAGGTTGTGGGGGTACGGTGGATACTCATCCTAGCGAGTGTCTTTCTCCCCGCTTTTGCCTGACTTGGTTTCTCTGCGTGCTCAGTACATCTGTGCCATTAGCTCTGGGTAGGTGATATATATATTCCGAGTTCTAATAGGTTTTAGATTTGTGCTTTCCGGTTGCCCTGGGAATGCCTTGTAGACAATCCTCATTTTAGACTGAATTCTGCTTTCAGATTTATTTAGCACGTGGAAAGGTAGACTATATGCTATGTAACTCAGTAAGAGCGTCTTTAATATTGTAATGACGTCTCCTCCCTTAGCTAGCTGATCGAGGGTGAAAATCCCCCCGCCCCGCCGTGGTGGTCTAGTGGCTAAGATATTCGGCTGCTGACCTGCAGGGCGTGGGTTCGAATCCCGGCTGCAGCGGCTGCATTTCCGATGGAGGCGGAAATGTTTTAGGCCCGTGTGCTCAGATTTGGGTGCACGTTAAAGAACCCCAGGTGGTCTAAATTTCCGGAGCCCTCCACTACGGCGTCTCTCATAATCATATAGTGGTTTTGGGACGTTAAACCCCAAATATCAATCATTCAATCAAAATCTATCCAGCCATGACGCGACCCAGCAAGCCCGTGATTTGGCGTCGACCCGGAGCGACAGCTTGCGCTTCTGAGTCACTTATGAAAGTCGGCATAGACAGTGGAGCCTTGGACGTGGGACCACTCTCATCGAGGTCACGACCGGTTTTCCCCAGCTCTTACGAATAAAGCATATGTACTTCATGTATATACTTAGTTCACTTCATATTTGCACCGCTCGTATTCATCATATGAGTGTTGCAAGGACGAATACGATCAAATGTAAAGACGTGAGGTAGGGTGAGGAATTTAAGTGAATAGCGTAATGCACGCCGGTCCTGAATCGATGACCTGCTAATTACATACACGGCCTAGACGCGGAGAGACGCGCAAGTTACGTTCGAATGCCATAGGGGCACAGGGCCACACTTCGGCTGCTTCTACTATTCGGCGTGTGGGTTCTTGCACTGCTGTCGCTTCTCGAAAATGAGCTCAGCGGTCCGATTTCTCACTACTATTAGTCCAACTAGGCTTTCATCCACAAGACCAGCGAAAGTTGCAACCCTGAATTTATTGGTGTGGTTCCTATTCAAGGTTGTTTTTTGAAATGGTCTTCATGGCATGCTTCGTAGCATGAACGTAAGTTTCACTGGACCTATACGTATGAAGGTTGCAAATACTTGTACCAGGAAACTGAAAAGCGACAATTGGCGCTGACTTACGGTTTTGCGGTGGTGTTGTTCTCCTTGCTAAGCTCACTCTTGGGCAAGTACTTGAGGTTTTGCCGGATGTCGTACGAATCATTCATGGAACGCACCGGAGAGAACGTCACTGGCAGCAGCAGTGCCGTTTCTGAAAGAAAGGAAAAGCAACAGTGAACTGGCGTTGTAGCCGTTTCTTCAATGAAATCCCAATTCAGAGATACCTGAACACGTGAGGAAGTAGTGTAAACGAGAAAAGTCCAGTATTATTTTTTCTGTAAGTGTACGCAAGCGCGTTTGTGAAAAAGGAAAGTTTTAATCTCTCCTTGTTTACCGTTAAGTTACAGATTGCGTGAAATGCAAAATATTTGTTATGTGATGTTTTACCTCAACTTTATCACCTAAACGTATCATGGCATCTCTTTTTCAACAACTGCTTATGCTAATGAAAAAAAAGGAGTCCACGCAAGCAGTCAGTCATAGTGTTGCGAGTGACTGTGTTTATTGACAGATGAGGTGAAAAGGCGTTGTGAAATAGCAGCGTACTTCTGAGACAGGCCAAGAACGCTTCCACCCAACCACACAGTCCAGGCGCCGCTCCACTACTCTTCTTCTTCTTCCGCGCCCCGTAGGCTCGCGCATCTTCGTTTCATTTCCCCCGGCGGCAGACGAAGCTCGCCGAGCGAGTTAAATAGGCCTATGATGGTACTGTTTGAGGCGGGCTACGTGAACAACTTGCGTAGTGCGCGAACGCCGGTTATTGGCTGTGACTCGGGCGACAACGTAATTCACGTCACTGAGACGAGTGACTATCACAAATGGGCTGGAATAGTTCGCTAGAAACTTCCGGTACAATCCTTTTCTACGAACAGGAGTCCACAGCCACACGTAGTCACCAGGAGAAAACTCTACGGGGATATGCTTGGCATCGTAGCGACTCTTGCTGTGTTCTTGCGAAGACAATGTTCGAAGGCGTGCTAGTTGACGTGCTTCTTCAGCGCGACACAACGTCTGAGCGATGAACAGATCTTCCTGATGCGAGAAAGGAAATAGAGTGTCCAGAAAACTCTGTGGATTTCGTGCGTAAAGCAGAAAGAAGGGTGAATTTCCAGTAACTTCATGCTTGGCGGTGTTATACGCGTAAGTAACAAACGGTAAGACGGCGTCCCAGTTCCTGTGGTCAGCATCATTGTACGTCGATAACATATTCGTGAGAGTTCGATTTGTTCTCTCAGTGAGACCGTTAGTTTGCGGATGGTAAGGGGTGGAGTGGCGATAAGAGGAGCCACAGAGGCGCAAAATTTCTTCAACCACATCGGCCATAAATTGTCGTCCACGGTCACTGATGACAACCCGTGGAGCACCGTGACGCAGTATGACCCGTTGTAACAGAAAAGAAGAAACAGCGGCTGCTGTAGCCGATGTCAGTGCGTCCGTTTCCGTATAACGCGTTAAATAATCCACGCACACTATAACATATCGGTGGCCCGATGGAGTCTTAGGAAGGGGTCCGAGCAAGTCAATGCCGACTTTTTCAAAAGGCGATGTCGGTGGAGGAATGGGCTGCAAATAACCCGCCGGGGCAGTGGTGGATGGCTTGTGGCGCTGACATATAGCGCAGCTGGTGACGTACTGTTTTGTGGTCTTCCACATTTTTGGCCAGTAGAACCTCTCACGTAGTCGATGCAGCGTACGTGTGAAACCGAGATGACCGGATGTTATGTCATCGTGCGCAGAACGAAGGACGACCTGGCGCAGGCTTTCCGGCACCACTAGAAGCAACGGGAGGCCATCGGCTGAATAGTTTCTTTTATACAGCAAGTCATTTGAAATTTTAAAGTGCTTGTCGACGGAGTTATGTGCAGCTTCGAGCAAAGGTTTCAGAGTAGGGTCGCGCTGCTGCTCACGTTTGAAGCGGCTGGTATCTGGAAAGCCGGACGAGACAGAAACTAAATAGTCATCAATGTCATTGTCGTCATCATTGGTGTGTACTGAAGGAAGGCGGGATAAGCAGTCGGCATCTGTGTGACATCGTCCGCTCTTATAGGTAACAGAAAAGCTGTACTCTTGGAGGCGCAACGCCCAACGAGCCAGCCGGCCAGCCGGGTCACGAAGTCCCACAAGCCAGCATAGTGTGTGGTGATCGGTCACTATTGTGAACTCGCGGCCATGTAGATACGATCGGAACTTCTGAATGGCGAAGACGACTGCTAAGCACTCGAGCTCGGTGACGGTGTAGTTCGTCTCTGCTCTGGTCAGTGTCCGACTGGCATATGCTACGACGTGCTGGCGACTGTTGCAGAGGTGGACCAGCACAGCACCAACACCTAGCCCACTAGCATCAGTATGAAGTTCAGTCAAAGCATCAGGATCAAAATGCTTTAGGATGGGTCCTGATGTCAATAAAAACTTCAGCTGTTGAAATGCAGCCTCACATTAATCATCCCACAAGTACGGTGTGTCTTTATGAAGAAGGGACGTCACTGGGGAGGCAAGTTGTGCGAAGTTCTTAATAAATCGGCGGAAATATGAGCACAGACCCAGAAAACTTCGCAGGTCCTTCACTGTTCGTGGTGGTTCAAAGTTGCGAACCACTGCGGTCTTCAGTGGGTCTGGTCGCACGCCTTCTTTATCCACGAGAAAGCCTAATACGAGGGCTTGATGTTCTCCAAAACGACACTTCTTTGAGTTTAAAACAAGGCCAGCTTACGCATTCAAACACAAGCGACAAGCGCTGGTTATGCTCTTGAAAAGTCTTGCCGTAGATAATCACGTCATCTAAATAGCACATGCAAATTTCCCATTTTAGTCCACGGAGTACTGTATCCATAAATCTCTCGAATGTCGCTGGAGCATTGCACAAACCAAAAGGCATAACGTTGAACTCAAAGAGACCGTCTGGTGTTACGAAGGCCGTCTTCTCTTTATCTGGGGGATGCATAGGAATTTGCCAATACCCAGAACGCAAGTCAACAAAAGAAAAATAGGAGGCAGAATGCAGGCAGCCCACGGCGTCATCTATACGTGGCAAAGGGTAGACGTCTTTTGTTGTGATGGCATTTAGGCGACGATAGTCTACGCAGAATCTCCATGAATTATCCTTTTTCCTCACTAGAATGACAGGAGCTGCCCATGGACTACACGATTCTTGTATGACGCCCTTCTTTAGCATGTCTTCAACTTGCTCAGCGATGACTTTCCTTTCGGAAGGCGAGACACGATAGGGCTTCTGGCGTATTGGTGGTGCTTGGCCTGTATAGATGCGGTGTTGCGTACGTGAAGACGGTGGCGTAACGGTAGACGTCTCGTCTTGGGCAAAGTCAAAGACTGAGGCGTAGCATGTGATAACCTCCTGCAGCAGCGACCGTTGAGTTGATGGAAGTGACTTGTTAATCATACGGTCAATGCTGGCAGAATAGTCGCGGTACGAGTTGGCGTAGGGTTTTTTTATATCCACCGACAGTTGGAGTGACCGTATGGTAAGAGTACTTTGCTCTTGAAAGCTTGCCAATTTAAGTCCTGCAGGCAGATATATGGGCTGCGCGGAAACGTTCACAGTCCACAAATCGGCACAACCATCGACGATGAGCACGAGGCAACGAGGCACGATAACGTTTTTCTTAAGGGCGTTACTGTAGTTCGGCTCGGCTAAACCATAGTAAGAACCCGCACAAGAACGCGAAGAGTTTACACGCACAAACATTGCGGTATGTGGGGCCAAGCAGACGTCTTCAGACACGGAAAACACTTCCAAGCAGTCATCAACGGTATCTTTTGTCAATGGAGGCGGCAACACGGGACGAAAAATATTCCCACCACTACCACAATCTAGAGTTGCACCACATTCCCGCAAAAAATCTATACCTAGAATGACGTCATGGGTCGCTCGTGCAAGCACCGTTAGTTCCGCTCGAAACGTTTGATTTCCTATAGAAAGTAAAACAGAACAAACTCCAACCGGGCTCAACGTTTCTCCCCCTACGCCGCGGAACGTAGCACTCCGACTCCAAGCAAACATTACTTTCGTCCCTAGGCGATTTTTAAAAGACATGCTCATTATGGAAACGGCAGCACCGGTATCAACTAGTGCAACAGTACTCACATTGTCTACAAAAACACTCACTTTGTTCTCAACCATTACAACACAGGGGGGTCTTGCGGAAGATGATTTTGCGGCCTCGCCCCCATTGGTCGCACCAGTTAGTTTCCCAGTGGTGGTGGCGTCCCCGAGCGGCGACGCGGAGACGGGGGTCGCTGTTGGCGTGCTGGTGGTGGGGTAACGCTGCGGTCGGAGCAAGGCGAGTCAGCACGTGCTGCGTGTTGCTGTTGGAAAGAGCCCTGAAATGGTCGAGACTCGTCAGCAGGTACATAGGGCGTGTACACGTTGAAACGTGCAGCTCGCTGCTGGCGACGGTAGCAGTACCTAGCGATGTGTCCAGGTAGCCCGCAGTTGTAGCAAGTACGGGTTTCGCGTCTAGTCGTCCCCGGCGAAGTAAACCTCGTCGGTTGATAAAAGCCGGGCGATGGTGGTCGAGGAGTGAATCGCTGTGACGCAGCTTGCCTGCGTTCCTGGTTTCCGAGTGGTCGTTCACTCCTCCGTTCGAACCGATCGGTGTAATTCGGGCGAGGCTCAAAGTAGCTCTGTCGCATCCGAGGTACCAGTGGTTCACGGGGCCGTTGGTCGAATGCACACTGATGGCAGACACTAGCGGTGTCCACAGCTTGCAGTTGAGCAAGTTCTTCCTAGACCACTCGTCTTATAAGAGAAGAGATCTCGTCCTGCGATGGAAGGTTGACACTTGCAATCGTGGGCACGTTGTCAAGACGTCCAAATTTTGGTAGGACTCTCCTCCTGTTTAGGGTTTCAAACGCTCAGCAGTGTCTCCTTAGGTCGGAAGGTGTGTGTAAGTCTTCCTTAGTGATAAGGAAATTGTACACGTCTTCCGCGATTCCCTTGAGGAGATGACCTACCTTATCTTCGTCTCACATGGTCGCACTCACGATTCCGCAAAGCTTCAAGACGGCCTCGATGTAGGTGGTGCATGTTTCGCCAGGTAACTGAGCTCTGCGTGAAAGCGTTTGCTCCGCCTGCTTGACCTTAGCTGTTGAGTCACCAAAACACGTCTTCAGCTCGTCCACGAAAATGTCCCATGTGGTCAATGCACTCTCATGGTTGTCGAACCAAAGAGACGCGGTGCCGACGAGAAAAAACACCACGTTCTCGAGCTGCTTAGCAGTGCTCCAGCGGTTGCTGCGACTCACTCTTTGGTAGTGCTTGAGCCAGTCGTCAACATCGTCATCCGGCTGCCCCGAAAAGGTCCTCGGCTGACGTTCCGGCATGCCGCAGCGATCTTGTCCTAGCGGGTGAACGTGTTGCTCATCAGCAACGAGGTTGTTATGGCCTGCTCCCGCGTCCTCCATGTCTGGTAGCTGTGGTGGCAAGCCTGCCAAGCGTCTGCTCCGTCGCAAAATCGGTAGAGCTGGGTCGTCCAGATCGATGTACCCGGCACCTTCCACCAAACTGTTGCGAGTGACTGTGTTTATTTACAGATGAGGTGAAAAGGCGTTGTGAAATAGCAGCGTACTTCTGAGACAGGCCAAGAACGCTTCCACCCAACCACACAGTCCAGGCGCCGCTTCACTACTCTTCTTCTTCTTCCGCGCCCCGTAGGCTCGCGCATCTTCGTTTCAATAGCACTGCCAAAATATCTGCATGGTTTGCCTAGGAAATATCATAACTCTCTCGACTTTGCACACAGAGCGTACGAATGAGACTTCGGTCCACATTTACGAATTTTTTTAGGCTACAAATTTTCGTAAGAGGATATTTTAGTCAATTGGTATGCGGAAGCTAAAGCGAAACCGAATGACCAATTGAAACATGCTGTTGAAAAAAAATTTCGGGAATTATGACCCCGGTAATATTGGCCTGTTGTTAGGCTGTGTGCCATTAAATCTCAGTGCTTGGCCATTTGTAGAACGTATAGAGCATTCTTGCATTCTCAATGCAGCTCCCTTGATAAGCTGCTTAATAAAAAAAGGGTGTGTTTCCTTTTTGTTGATTAGCAATCGTGCGTAGGTAGCTTATCTCCAAATCATCGCTAAATTTTCTAAACAACGGGTTTCTTGCAGAATCAGCTACTATCCGCAACTGTCCACGTGAGTGAACAGGCACTATGAAGAAGATGCGCTAAACAAGAGCACAAAGTTCAACAGCGTGGTGATGTACCAATAGTTTCGAAGCGGCTGTGCAAAGTTACGTTGTCCTCGCTTGAACAGTGGCCCGGAATTCTCACCCTGCGGAGGAAGTTGACTGAAGATTATGGCCGAGTTGGAGCGTTCATTGCCGGCATTGCTAAAAAGAGCAAATCCGTAATGTAATTTAAGAGCCGAAGTATCTTTTAAGCGAAAATATTTGTATTTTTGTCGGAGCCATTGGGCGTCATTGTGTGGTGGAACTCTAAGATCTGTTCGCATTACAACCAATACTAGCGGCTAGTCCACCATGTGAATATGAGTCCTGCTTGTTCGTCAGTATTGCTCGTCAGCGAGCAATTTTAGCCCCAAAGCAGGGCGGGTTCGGGGCATTGATCTCTGTAGACATCCCCCGTGCGTGAACTATTCGTGTGACCCCCAACGCTGTACGCCAGACGCCGTCGTAACCTTACTCGTCTTGAGACGCGAAGCAGGCGCCAATGTCAATACACTCGCCTCCAAGGAACGCACTCCCGAGCCCTTGCACGCCGTCCTCGCAGGACCGCATCTGCGTCGCGAATCCACACCACGCGTGGCAGCAGTAAACGTCGTATGTTTACCCTCGCCGTCTTCCGCGTATATTTGATTGAGCGCGGGGGATGCGCCGAGGGTTGACGGATATCGCGTCGCGAGGTCTTGCACCATGACGCACGCGGAGGGATGAAAACACCCATCCCCTTTTTCTCGCTTTCTCGCCCTGCGTGATTATGCCCGGAAGAGGCGCACTCGCTGGGAGCAGTCTGTATATGGATATTCGCCGTGACGTATGCAAGAAGCGACTCGCTGGCTTCGGCCTTTGACACTTAGGAGTATACTGCGATCTATATATAAGATTTGAAAATACACTTTATGCACTCTCGAACGGCTGGTAAATGTTTCTTAACTGTCAAATCTATATGCGCAATTAGTTGTACCATACCTAATACCCATATTGCACTACTGAGAACAGCTTGAGAGTTGCAAAGCTTTGTGTGTAAAACTGAGTGTCGAATTGCAGTATATACACTGAAAGTAAGACAACATAAAAGAAATACAGTTAGTTTATGATAGGTTTTTGTAGAAGAAGGATAAAGAGAAAGAGTACAGGAGGATGTAGCAGATGTGCGAAAAACAATAGAAGAGGCCAGCGGCGTATGGAGGATTCCTTGTCTAGTTCGAAAGAAACCCCGAAGTCAAACACCGCTCTATTACTGTGAAACCCGAGGAAGGGCGTAGCGTAATAAGGCAGCAATTTCTGTTCTGAAAGTTATCACTACTCCATTTACTAAAGCGCCAATAACGCCCATGTTTGACATAAGCATGCACGTTTTCCCCGGCAGCAGAATTACTTTGTTAGGGAGTATAAAAACGGCGTGTGCAACTTGTGCACTACTTTTTATGCGCTTTATTGACTTCGTGCTTGTTGCGGCAGTTGAAATACGTGTCGTCAGAAGAAGGGTGCGTCAGGCTGTTCAAGCACCATCGAAGCGCCGGCGTGACGTGTGATCGTGCGTGAGCTCTTCTACGCCGTGGCACCTCACCACGCGCGGTGCAGAAGTCGGCCGGAAGCGTCCGAGGAATTTTCATCAATTTTAACATAAATGTGTTTTTTGCCTGGGTTCAGCAAGACTTTAATGATGTATTTCAGTCACGGAAACTACGTCAAACATACACACGCTCAGAATACGCCCGTTTCTATCAATAAGAGTCGAACCTACGACCTTTTGGTTCGTTACAAGAGTTGGCGGCTCCACTGTTCACAGTGCCACGATCACTTTTTTTCTTTGATGCATGGAAGTACTGCCATTCACCGTGCCATGGTCTGGCTTCAAAAACACGCCTTTATATCTACCATTGTCATCTCACAGTGGTCTTGCTAAAATGAAATGTGCATCATGTCCGTGAATTCCATGATAAGTTTCTTGAAAGTGTCATTTCTTGTTTCCGTTCCATTCAGATCGTTTCGAATAAGAAAAGTGCAATTATGTCGACGCAGACCACTGCCATGTGGCGACCTTATCCACAGCGCCAGCCTCACTCAGACCATCCATCCATAGCTTTGTGACGCGCGTCTGTCATGTGCTTCGTGTTGCCGTAATTACGCTTTCCGGACTCACTCTCGACCCACGAAAAATCTCAGTCGGCCAATGGGAAATACACAAAGCCCATTCTGTTCCCTCTAGTCGGGCTACGGTGTTCAAGTATTCTAACATGCCGCTAGTGCGTGACCTCAGCCCGAGTTCAACGTCCTACCAGTGACACTCTTCTGGCTTTCACACCGCTTTCTCCGATTGCGCTCTCGTCGTATAGCTACCACAATAATGTATGTCCACAATGGTTTGTCTAGGCCTTAGTCATAAGCGTTACCTGTTGAGATATAAATGTACCGCCAAACATCAACGTGGATACAACCACAATAAACGATTGTATGACTGTCAAACGCGGGCTCTCTCCTACAGAAAACATGCAGCTACTACTGGAAGAACACGTTTAGCTTTCATATGACACCAATTTCTATGACGAAGGGATCAGCCAACTTTTTAAGTTAATTATAACAATTGCTTCTTGATTAGCGTGGTTAGCTGTATTATTTTAGACCTTGCCTGTTTATTGTATTCTGGTTTTCAGAATTGCCAGTCATCTTTTAGTCCTGTATGAGCGCTCTATTGTGAGCGTTACCACGATATGCGAGACCTATAAATGTACGACTAGCCTTGCTCCTAAAGTGCTACTCACTTAAAAGTGCTGAATGCACTCTAATAACTCCCATAGCTTTTCGTTTGGAGGCTGTGTAAGTCATCATTTTGGGATTGCGAGCTCTGCAAAGCAGCTGATGGTCAAGATAGAGCAAAGTAGTTATCGACAAGCGCAAGTTAGGGATACACCAGTGGAGGTACATGAACGCAAAAGAGAGTGCATGAGTTCAATATGCGAAGGCACTGCGGCTCTGTTGTCATTCACGCCTCCAAGGGAAGACTGTAGGTAACATACCTCTGTGGATCTTGTCCTGAGGCTTGCTGTTGCACCGGTGTCCATAGCAACCACGCCTTTGGCGCAGCTCACCGCAAGACAGACCCCCGTTCCGTGGCTTCTCCAGGATGGTGCGCTCACGACCCATGCCCCCAGGCCCGCAGTCGGTGTCACACTCAGACCACGGGCCCCATTCAGACATCTGGCAGTCCGACACTATTAGCAAATGAATAGAAGCACAATTTATTGATGAGCCATTCGCTGAGGTCGCACTGGCTGACGCAGCAGATTTGGATCACATTTATTATTCATCCTTTGTAGCTTGCATATGCACGTACCACACATCCGATATGAAATTATTTCAGGATGGACACAAGGCTGACAATAGAAAATTGTTGAACTTGAGAACGCATTACAATAATGTAAATTTACCTCGCCTACAGCAGCTTATAAGCTCGCATATTTCCTCTAGACTACTCATATCAATGCCTCTATTGAGTAACTAGAAGCTAGGGTTGTTCGTTCCGGTTCTGTTTCTGCTGGCATTTACAGCTAACATTCACTTATCACAACGCCTGGATAGTTATTGAATAGCGCATTTCAGTTGCCTACTCATACTAGAGTCCTTTGTGACGAAAATTAAAGAAACAAAGTAAAAAAATCTTTATATACAGAAAGACGTTTCGAAGCCAAAGAGTGTAGCACAAGTTTTCTTATAAATTAATATTTACGGCAACTATTCAGCAGGTGTAGCAGGAGTGAGCGGTACGTGGTCGAGTTTCAGCGATAAATATAAATCCGAGCGAAGCAGCTGTCATTGAAATCACTCTTTTATCATCATTTCAGCTCAGATGGGGAAAAAGAACTTGCAAAGAAATTGGGCGCCTTCATGCTTATATATCGAGGTTATGGAGTCGACAAGTACTGCTGACTGGGTGAGTTGGTGCATGATAAAATGGTACTGCTTCAGCGCAGCTCCATTTGAGCGTGAAGAAAAGGTGCTACTGTAAAAAAAGGGAATAAACAGACGTGAGTATTAGCGCTCATTTTGTTGTATAATTTTCCCTTCTTGACTATACTATCTTTCTTTGACGCTTATGAAGACTCATAACGAATCACATAGCAATAAGAATGACTGGTTGTGAATGTGTGTGTGTGTGTGTGTGTGTGTGTGTGTGTGTGTGTGTGTGTGTGTGTGTGTGTGTGTGTGTGTGTGTGTGTGTGACATGGCCTCTGAACAAGCCGCACGAAGCGGAAAACGCTGCTCTGCTTCGTGACGGAAGAAGTTGCAAACTCTCTTCGTGCATCCATAACCCCTCAGGAGCATGTGCACTGTGGAAACCATGCCTTCGGCAGTTTCTATCAAGCAGCTGCTCATTCTGCGGTTACAGACCCTCCGCCGTGGGGTCATTAGCCGCGGAACCCTTCTGGCACTCCGAAGAGGGGAGGCGTCAGTTTCTACGCACTTTCTCCGCACTTTCTTTCCCGTGCTTGTAGCACACTTAATATAGTTGGAGCGATGCCAGACACGCGACACGCGGTTATCTCCGTGCGTGCCCCGAGGCGAGCACGCGGCTATACTGGGTCGCCGGTCTCACCACAAAGAACACCCGTTATGTGAACGAACCGCAGAGCCGGAGAGGGATTTCCTCGCTCTCGCTGTGCGTAACATCTGTCCTTGAAGAGACAGTCAGTGAACTCTGCTCTCGAGTCGACTCTCACACCAGGCCACACCGCGCCGTCTAATGACAGTTAGGCTGAAGCGGCGCTGCGGCGATTCCTTTGTGCTTCAGGGCATAACACAAGTTCCACCAAGAGTGCTTTTCACTCGCACTTGCATTCTCTTCGTGAAGGAGAACTTTTTTTGAGGTCTCTCCCCATCGCCCTTGAGACAGAAATACCTTGTATTAGGTATGTTCCCTCCAACGAAGCAGCAGGGAGAAGAAATTGAAAGGGGTTATTAGCCTCAATCGTCAACGTCCCTTGGTTACCAAGTATCCACATGTTCGGTCTAGTAATTTGTGTTCTGCGAAGAGCGAACGTAAGTTGAAAGGCCCAACCCGTACAGAGAGGGTTTAAGCTGAATAAAACAGATTGCATAAAGTGCTGCTGCTGTTGTTCTTGACACACGCAGTTTGACAACCAAAAACTCTGATTGAAGCACCGGTTAAGTCACGTATAACAATAGAACAAAGAGTTCAGTCAGTCAGTAATTGAAGTATTTGATGCTACAACCTGTTTTCGAGCACGTTTCCCTTGCGTCAACAAACAGTTGATTTATACCTTCATATAAAGGAAAACACGTGCCACATTTTCAGCGTGTCTGCATGTGTGTGGGAAGTTGGATTCTGTTTGGGGAATAATACAGTGTTGCGGATAAAAAGTACGCAAATTCTGTGACGTTCATATGGGCCACAAGAAAGCATGTTGGCGAACTTCAATAACTAAAAGAAGGGAATACTTAAGGGCTCGTTTTTCTGTGTTTTTATACAATATATTGAGAAATGAGATCTAACAGACATTAACGGCAAAGAAAATATAGTGGAAAATATTAAACCACACACCCACACACACACACACACACACATATATATATATACATATATGCGTGTGCAGCGTAACCGAAAAGAATAATAGTACAGACAATACAGAAATCAAGAATCATTTTTCACAAACTACCATCACCTCTTCATTTCTCGTCCACGAGATGTTGATCAGTTTTAGGCCAATCGTTGTATATACGAAGTTGTGTGATTGTATTCTTGAGCTATGTAAGACTCATAAATAGTTTATTAGAGTGATTTGTTAGTGTTGACAGTCTATTACGTGTTAGAACATATAGTCAAGGAGAATACCACCAAGCAAACGGATAACTGGTGGTGTTGCGCATGCTCTATTTTTGTGTTTTTTTCTAAATCTGGCATTTTGGTGTTTTAGTAAAAAAAAATTGTGGTCCCTTATGCTTCAGCTTTAAGAGTTAAACGTGATATCGGTATCAAGTCCCTATACTACGCACCTCAGCCACACAGTAAATACTTCTTATTCTATGATGTTATTAGAGAAGTGTAAATTGTGTAGTACTACAATATAATCAATAAAAATGAAACTGGCTTGCGTCAGTTAAGCTTCTGCATATGGCTCTGTTCTTTGTAATGGGTAGCATGCTTTAAGCCACGCGCAATGATGCTTGTGAAGTGTTTCCGAACTTGTTATGCATCCAATACGGGTTCTTAAGAAAATGCGCGCAGTAACGCGAGTGTCATTTGTAACGAATAGCCGACTTTAAACCATGAAGTTATTATGATAATCACATGTCCTGACGCCCGATGGCAACGTACGCTCCTACCACGCAATGTTGCTATGACATTGCAGGTTACATTCTGAAACATGCAAGCAGGACGCATGTGTACGCAAAGCATGAACGCTATCTTCACTGCATTTATTAGCAGAGGAAGTTATTTTCACCGTACTTCGAAGCAGAAGTGTTACGCGATAGGTAACAAAGAAAAAAAAGTGCAGTTGCGTGGCTGTTAGACATAACACGTGCTTTCCACGCAAACGACGCGGGTGTGATCCTCACTCGGACCCGGAAATGCTTATTTTATTCGTTTCTTTCTCGACTTTTCGGTAATGCACAAGAAGGTAATTTTTCAATAACAACCAACGACACTGACGCCGACACACAACGGCGACACCGTAATTTATGCAAAATGAGCCGTTTAACACTACCGCGTTATTAAAGGCAGCATTATCCTAGCCCCACCTTTTTCCATTGGTGTGTTTTATACTGAATGTTCATTCTTCGTGTCTGCCCTATTTGTTCACATTCTGCCACAGCATATTCAACAAAAACTGTATTAAAAATTTCCTGACGTCTATCTTTAAAAGGAGGGAACGCGAAGAAGCTCAGGTCGCTGATTATCCTATACCAAAGGTAACATTCCCTTCCAAAGCAGTTTGCATTGAACTGCACTCAGCAACCTTTTGTAAGACCGCTGCACATATATACAAAGTTTACGAAGAGTCGGCCGTAGTGCTGTGAGGAATCATTCAAGTAACAGCAGATGGTTCCGAAATAATTTGAACAACCTCGTGCAGTTTGACATGCTTCAAACTGTGGGAACATGAAATATTTTGCGTTGAAATTCCACTACATTTGGATGACCAGTTCCACTAATTACAGTTAAACTTGAGTTTGAGAGAAACGGGAAATAAAACTACATTGGAAAATTGTTGCATAATATTGCCTTTATTACATGATGAAAAAAAAAAAACAGCTGACAATGCATAAACATCTTGACGCGTACCGAATAATATTCTTTACATGAAAAAAAAATGCCAATTCTATGGTATAACAACGGCTCATATTCCTATTCCCAATAAAAATATATTGCTTAAACTTAGCTTTTTATTCTGTCCTCTATTTCACGTATGGGCCAGAAGTTGTGTCCCAGTGGGTCAAAAAGACACTGGGCTTCAGATTACTTTTTCATACCTTTAAAATAGGTTAAGTTGCCATCAAAAATGTTCTCACCATCTGCTGCCAAACGTGTTTTTTTTTTAATGCAGTGCATGATATACTTACCAACAAAAGTTTAAGTAGGCTTCTGCGCAAGCACATTCTCGATATCTACTTATGTTGCACGATGAGGTGCACGTGTCCATACTGCTCTGTTCTAGTGATGCACGGATATGCGTACAATATCATATGAACATGTCAAGGTTTATGATCAGAACGCTTCCATATACTGCCGCAAGCCATAAAACGACCATTATATGGCCACGAAATACAGGACAACGGATTCTAGGAGGCTTGAGCTCATGCAAGCACCAGTCTCACAGTACAAATCTATTGCACATGTACGCACAAAGTATTCATGATCGATGGATTAATTCATTGATTGATTGTTATATGAGGCCTGACGTCCCAAAACCACTATATAATTATGGGAGACGCCGTAGTGAAGGGATCCGAAAATTTGGATCATGTGGGGTCCTTTCAACGTGAAACCAAATTTGAGCACTTGGGTCTACAACATTTTTGCTTCATGGAACATGCAGCCGCCGCAGCCCGAATTCGATCTCGCGACCTGCGGGTCGGCAGCTGGGTACCTTAACCACTATAGACTATCCTGGCGGGGCACACAGAAAGTATTATTCCCCAAGGGCAAGCCTATATCGAAAAAAAAAGAATGTAGGTGTGGAACCCTTAAGGAGTTTTCGCAAATAGTTCGTTTTGTGTTACTTTGTCTAGCTCTCGTTCTCCGGTCAGAGTGAACAGTTTCTCGCCGTATAATGCAAATTTACGACGCAGTTTATCATTTTCACCTTTCCATGTTCTTTAGATCACGTCATGTGACTTATCACATGACGTGGTCATGTGATAAGTCACATGATAGCACAGCAAATAAACCAAATAAATCATCGTTTGAAAGCAAATATAATCAAAGGTTGAGGCTAAAGGACGTAAGCAAAGATGGCATGAGAATTGTTGGGGGCGAAGTTCTTGTATATACATGATGCGTAAGCATAACGGTCGTAGCAGATAGCACTGATATGAGCAGTCCGTCTCACAACAAGGGTCCACTTCACTGCCTCTTGCATGACTTCCGTGTTACAAAATACATGACGTGTCCTCGTGATAGCATGTTCTTGACACCCTGGTGACATGGTGGTAAGTGATATTCGGATGAAGGAGTTAAGGAGGAAGAAGCTGTCCGAATACGCCTGTACGTCGGCCAGCTGATTATGTATGCTTTAGGCGTTAGCGAAGGGGCAATACGAGAGCGACATTCGTATCAGCAGGAAGTTTGATAGCACAAAGCTAAACCTAACAGATTTTACCCGAACTGCTGAATGCAATGACCTCGCTACAGAAGCGTCCTGGCAAGCAATGCTGTTCTGAAGGCAGTGCAATATGATGCAGAGAATCGCTTTATATTTTTTTGTGTGTAGATGAGTATAATGCGACTTTCTTTTTCTGCTCGAGAGTTGTGCGTGGAAATTTCTTGGGTTAAAATTGTGCTTATGTTTTCGTCTTTTTACTGCTATATGACTGTGTTATATTGATCAGAGATGTAGTAATTGAATTTCATGTACCTTGTTATATTTGTGAATGACTTTTTCCGCTGCTACTGTATGGGTGGCATGGCCCAGTCAAGCAATGTTTGCCTTTTGCCGTGTCTCCTTGGATACTTTTAAAATTGTTTTTAATAAACTAATAAAGAAAGAAAGAATATATTTACTGATTGCTAATTTGCTTGAATTGTGTAGGTTGCCAAATGTGCGACGGCAGTTGAATAATTTTAGCAAAACAGAAAGCTGATATTTTGTTGACTAATTGAAATCTTGATTCAGCGTTTAACTTGATTAGCCAGTGGTTCAATTCAAACGGGTAAGCGCATCAAGACACATACACTTAAAAGGAAATGGGGAGTGCTACTTCTGACTGACATTCATAAAAACAGGCACACGCCAGATATGCAAGGACTTCACTCATGAGGTAAAAGGACCCATGCTTGAAAACATCGTCACGATTTTTTACTTTTTTGTCGCTTGTATTATTGGTGTTGACGTGCACACGGACACAGGGCGACGAGGCAAAGTGTTTGAGGAAGTTAATAAGCCATAATGATACCATGAAAAGTTGTGGTGTTGCTCTGTTGAACAATAGAGCGCAGGTTTGATTCCCGGTCAGTGCGGCCGCACTTTGAAGCAGTGGAAAAGCTGAGGTGTCCCATCCAAGCTTTGAAACCTAATCGACAGCCTCCACCACGGCGTGTCTGACGTTGATGCTTTGAATATAATTTTTTTTAAGTTGACATGAGAAATCACTTATTTCGCGAAAATTATTTTCTCAGAAACATCACATGCCTGATAATTTAATCTGTTAATTAAACGCCACCCTTATTTCATAGCCATGTTGCGGCTTGTTGTTTAAATGGGCGCTTCTTCCTTTGATTTCTATAAATGGTTAATTTCAGCGGTATAACAGCATCTACGGAAGCGTAGTTTGTGCACTTCAGTTCCGGAAAAAAGAGATATGTTACTCTCATTAATTAGTTTTAGCAGAAGAAGGCCCATGCTGACGTGTAAATGCAGCAACGTGCTCCAATAACATGAACAACCGCTCATTTCTAGAGCAGCGCACTTTTTACGTTAGTTCGACAAGAAAGGTAACCGGTCTGACAGCGTGATCGGTAATTTCACCATAGTATTAATTTTCGCACTACTGATTATCGGCTTTGTGGCTCGGTGAAGATCTGGGTCTGAAGTGTATATTATACGACAGTAACGCTGACAGAAGGACAGTGTTAGGAGCTCGCTCGAGGACGAATTGGAAGCATGTCAGTTTTAAGATTAGTATGTATGTTACGGGAAGAGAGCTATATTTATGGAATACAACCACATAATATGCATGAGGAATAACATAGGCACTGCTAGCGTTCTTCTTTTTTTCAACATCTCTTTTTCTGGGAAGTATGTCTTCGTGGTTTTATTCGCCCCCCTGGATAGTCCAGCGATGAGGAAGTTTGCAGTCGGGGTGTTCTCTACTCGCTAGCAACAGTTATGACATCGAGATCGTAATATGAGGTTCTCCAGTATACGCGCTTTGGTCGCACGAATGAACATCCATTCAATTTTTGCTTCATCATGCGGTTGTGATTGACAAACATTGGGTTCACGCGATCTTACTGTACTTTATTTCCCGATGAAGCTTTAATGAAGTTGGGGCTTCAAACCAAGGAGCCGTGCATTTTGCATCGTGCAATAAGAAGAAACAAAAATAACTTTACCTCCACACGACTCTTTGAAGTCGTCGCAGCAGTCTCCGAGCTGCATGCAGGCGTGGTCGCAGTAGCAGGACTGCTCGTCGCGCTCCTCGACCAGGGCGTTCGGTCCGCTGGTGACGCCGATAGAAGCGTGGGTCATCATCTTGCGCACGACGCACGAGGCGTCCCGTCCAGGGCAGCACATGCCCGCGGCCCGGCACGAGCCGTCGCCGCGGTGTCTGCGCTCGGGGGCGCCCTGGACAGCCTGGCCGCAAAGCAGCAGCAGCAGAAGCCAGAAGCCGAGGGCTGACCAAGTGAATGAGCGTGTCATCCTGCTATCGCTGCTGCTGCTGCTCTGTCGGGCGTGTGGTGTTTTGTGGCTTCCTCGGCGTCTGTGCCCTCACGGCCAAGGAGGCGGTGTGTGGTCGCGGGCTCGCCGTTGGGACGAAGACGTCGATCACCCTCCTCCTCTTCCATATTGTCCTCCTTGCCTTTCCGTTTGCGGGGACGGGCCGGAGAGGGGGCTTAACTGTGGGGGTACTTGTACGCGCATGGAAGGGGCGGTTAACTTCACACTGCTTGCTTTTTGCGTGTAGAGTCCCGTAGTGTCATCCTTCTCATCACTTACGCTGCAGCTGGTCGCCCAGGAGGAGGGAATACGCGATGGTGAAAGGGAGCGGGGTCTTCACCACTCAGAAGGAGAGTTACTTGCGTGTTGCTGAAAGCAGTTTGTGTGGTTCGCCGTAGGGGTGTTGTCCGTACGCCTACGGGGCCATTAGCGTGGGTGTTAAGACGGCGGGTGGCCAGTGTGGTTTCGAGAAATCGGTGCAAAGTGCGTCAGGCACCAGACTTCGCGTAAACAGGAGCATCACATTCATAGAATCGAAGGCGAGAAAAGAATGTTACAAGGTCACGCTTTTTTTTCTTCTCACTGAGGTTTACATAGAAAACTGATTTCACAAGTGAAAAACCTCGTAAAAGGACACGGCCGTGTGGAACATTCCGTGACTGAGGAATAAACGAATCAGACACAGAAAAGTGTAACGGAGTGGAATTCAAAGGCAGGTTTTGCATGCAGCAATTAGGTGTATTATTAGTGGTCAATGTTGACTAGCCTGTAATGTGAAGGAGAATTCATAAGCAATGTCTACTGGAGTTCATGAAGGAAAGCATTTATCTGTACTCGTTTACAGATTATCCCGACACACATTATACTCAGGTTTACAAATACTATATAAGGAAGCGAAATGGTTTAATGACTACCAACAAGAAAACCAGAAAAATCAGTCAAAAACATCTTTGTTTAACATAACATGAGCACGGATAGCCTTGTTATTAGCATCAAATATTTACGCTTGTGAGTACGAAAAATGGAATTATTGTTTCTCATATTGACAATAGTGAATCAGCAAATGCTGCGAGCAAATGTGTTAGCCTCCTCTGTTGGTGCATTTAGAGGTAATCTTATTTATTTCACCGAGGAGAAAGCAACGCCAATATGCCACCTCTAATCCTCGCTTTTTGTATAGTTGTATTCAGAAGGAGTCTAAACTCAACCTAAAGGTAGCCAAACTAGCCATTTCATTTATTTCATAACCAGTTTGTAGCCGCTGTGTAATGAAAAAAAATTGTTATTTTGCAATGAGAAACAACATTTTGAATCAACAAGAAATATGCGATTTCCGTGTGTTGATAGAGTTCTACTCGGAGTATGACTATGTTTTAGGGAACACCGTCGAAGCGGCGTTCATCGACACTCTAGAGGAAATGCATAATCAAGCTGCCAGGTCCGTTTAGGAGAGGTACAGAAGGATAGAGAGCTACATTGCAATGAAGGCAGAGCTTCAGATAGAGATCCGTTATACCCTTCGTAATAGGCTTGTATCAAAATTTTTATGCCCACTTTACAACAATACAACTGGTACTAAAAGAAAACTCACCTAAAGTAACCTCATTACGTCGCAAAGCGCATTGGCTACGATTGCGAAACTCTGTAGTACATGGCAAGATAAATATACACGCAAACTTTTTGTGCAAGCAAATAATTAGACGAGGAGGCTGACCGAAAAATAAGTGTAGCAATACCCCTGTTCACACGGTAACGTCGTGGGCACTTGCTGATCGAGCAGTGAATCGGCATTGGGCAGTAATGCATGAATAAGAATAAAGAGTATAAAAGCACAACCTTTACCCCCTTGATTGCTCTTCATTTGTAAGGAGTTAGTACATACATAAATGGACAAATAAATGAACGAGAAAAATTGCAAATCCTGCGTACAGTGGGAATAGATGATATCTGAAGCACGAGTGAAGAAAGTTGATATGCCACTTTAAAATAAGCACAACGTTACGAGGAGGACAGACGTAGTACACAGTAAACACCAGTGGAAATGTTGTGCGCACTGACTAATCTAGATAAGATGAACGTATGTTGTTTACAGTCGCGTAGAGATGGTACCATTAACGTTCGCAATAGCAGCATCGGCAGTGAGAGGCTTGTAAATTATGCTGTGCATGACTTGCATGTCATGATTATCATATTTGTACCTGGTATCGGTGTTAGTTGTCCATTCACGCCACGTATTACCAAATTTGGTATATGTGAAGCTAGCGAAACAACCGCGAGCGCATCATGAGAGTGGCATGTAGTCATGTTCTTACATGACACACCCCGCCACGTTGGTCTACTGGCTACTGACGCGCAGGTCGCGAGATGAAATCCCGGGTGCAGCAGCTGCGTTTTCAATGGAGGCGAAAATGCTGAAGACCCGTGGGCACAATTTTGGGGGCACGTTAAATAACTCCAGGTGGTCGAAATTTCCGGAGCTCTTCACTACGGCGTCTCTCATAATCATACGTTGATTTTGGGACGTTATACCCAGCATATCAATTCATCAATTACGTGATAGGAATATCGTGATGATCATGTTTGCACCATTTATATACCTTTTCATCGATTCACGTCTCATATTACCAAATTTGGTATATCTGAAGCTAGCGAAACGACCGCGAGTGCATGAGCACGGCATGTAGTCATGTTCTTACATGACACGCATGTCTTGATTTCCACGTTAAAACGTGTGACTTATGTTCCGTCATGCAGTCATGTCATACCATACCAGTTGTGCAATATGTCCTGTGAACGAAACCACCGCAAGGGCAGCAAGACATGTAAATCATGACATTCTTGACGTACATACATGTCATAATTTTATTGTAATGGTTTCGCGGTTCTTTCAAGTCGGAGTCCTGGTGAGTCGAGCTCTGGAAAAGTTTGATGAGTTTGAGACCGAGTGAGTCTTAAGGGCAAAATATATTTCGTAATTGAGTCTGAGTGAGCTTCAACATCTTTGCCGACGTACGAAATTAATACAACTTTTATGGAATGAAGTGAAACTTGAGGCTAAACGGATCTGGAAGTTAGGTTAGGGTTGCAGTAAAGAGCAGTAGCTGTGGGGGTTACTTTCGTATCTACCAAGGGTGACCACAAAAAAGATTACGGAACTAAGGATGCATTTGGTAGGCCGAGCGCAGTATAGGTGTCAGATATTTACCATAATAGCCGAACGCATAAAGAGCGCGATATTTGGTTAGTCACTTGACAAAAAAAAGGGGGGGGGGGAACGGGAAGGCGCAGGTCTTGGAGATGGCAGTCGTGGGCGGAATTTAGAAAGGAAAGTATTCTTCCTCATTTTAAAATATTTCGAGTCCCAAAAGTATTGTGAAATATTTTCATAATATAAATCCAAATTCTTGAATATTTCATTTCTTGTCACAACTGAACAAGCATTCCACAGTTACAAAAGTGTCTAATCTGCTATTTTACCACACTTTGTCATTGATCTCGATAATAATATTACTGGTATAATTACCCAGCTTTTAGTACCTAGAAAATGTCTTCGATGCCTACACTGGTTCAGGGCTACAGATAATCTGCAGCTAACCATCAAATAAGGAGATTTTTTTTTTGTTTTTACGAAGACAATACTTGCACGGCTTTCATTCAGCATTGACACAACTTGTTGCGGAATCGACACGGGCTAGTTGGTCGACTCGTGTCTTCGTGCGCCTTAGCTTGTTATTAGCTCTGATATAAGCAAACAGTGACGTGCAGGTGAACCATGACTTGGCTAGGTCTGCCGTATTGCTTAACAACTCAATCAAGAAGTTTGCTTAGTGAAACAATGATGTTCTAATGAACTGTTGACATACTTTTTTTCTAAATATGTGCAATCTCTAAATATTTATGTTGGCGTAAACCTTTGCGGAAAGGTTGCAGTCTCTATTATGTTTTGAGCGGTAGCCTGTACTGGACACCTGACTGTACTTTAGTTCAAGGGAACGAAAGAAAAACAATTTTACTTCGTAAGTGCAGGGTGTGCACTTACGAAGTATTTCCAAATGTTTCATTATGCCAGCCTTGGTATATGCCCGCTCTATCAGACTCATGCTCCTGTAAGATAGGGACGCGATACGCCTCAAAACGCTTCATTGGATCAAATAATGAACCATGGCTATCACATGCATCTACTGCAGGAACACTATACATGGCATGAAATGCGCTGTTAAAATTCAGAGTGCGTGAGAGTGCAAAGAAAGAGAAAATTCGCACACCGCGCCCACAACTCCGAAGAAAGCTACATGAGTGAATTATTTACGTGTCGCACCTTCCCAGCATAGTCGCACTCTTGTCTATGTACGTAAGGCGTCTTCTGATCGCTTACGCTTTCGCTAGCACAGCGCGGGCGCGTGCATCGGGATCATTGTAGCTTGATGACTATAGGTGGAAACCCGCGTGCTTTTCCTTTCAGCGGATGTGATTCCATCAGCCCTCAGATCTCGACGCCGTTAGAGGGGCATCCCTGCCGCGATGAGCCGCCGGCGCAGACTTACGCTGAATACCCCTAAAGGGCCAAAAGACTGAAAGAAAAAAGAACAGGAGAGATCTTCACGCGACGATTACACATACGACTGTATGTTAGAGAACAAACGAGGGAGTAGTGTTGAAGGTTGGTCATGAACGAACGAAGGGCGGAGGCTTGCGGCGTGAGCCCCGGCGGGCGCTTGCAAGGCCAGCACAGCGAGGAACGGAGGAAGGAGAGAAATGCACTAACGCTGCGCGCACGCAATGCACTAGAAGGAACGCGCCGCAGGAAATCTCCGACAAAGCACAGAGTACAAAAAAAGCGCAGCGTACGAGAGGAACCTATGAATGCACGGGAGTCTCATCCGGCCGCTGTTCTTTAGTCAGGACCAGGCGCCGCTAAGCACGCCCCCATATGCGCGCCACAGACGGGGGATTTTCTTGTCGCGGCGCCGGCAGGAAGAACGCTCGGATGCCGCCGGCGAGAAGATGTTACGCGTGCCTCGCCCCCGCTCAGACAGCCCCCCTGTGTTGTAATGC